TAGTAGGAAAAAGTATGGCCGATGAAAAAATTCGTAGAAAATTCCACATTGCAGTGAAATCTTCAACAATAACAGTGAACGAAGAACCGATAATAGGCAATAAGAAAATCGTGTTATCAATACCAAAGGTTAGATAGTTTCGTTACATGATGTCACTGAAGTTGGCCAACTTGAGGCATTACTAATTAGCATATTTACCCGTTCCGGGAAAAATGCTTATTTCTCAAAAGCAAAAATATATTTTCACAAATAAACTACACCATGATGATTGGAACATAATAGGCTACCAATACTAAAAGTATGAGCAAAATCGATTTTTTGAAGCTTGCCACTAATTGTTTGATGTTTGCTGACATCCGCTCTTAATGTTTTCCCATTTCAGACCACGTGTCATTCTCTTGAGGATAAGATTCTTTGGTTTGAGTTGTATCCATATTCATGTGTCTTCTAATGTGCAACCGAGCGCAACCGTTAAACGAAGAAATGATACTCTAGGAAATGACACATGGTCTGAAATGGGTAAAACATTGCGCCCGGGCCGAGGAGGTCTATTTACTTTAGTGACCACAAAAGAATAGCTCCAAGTTAAATTAGACTTAATAAAATACAGTAAATTTATGAACTCATCAAGTCCAACCTTGACTTGGACCTACTATATGGTGGTCACTCAAGTGGTCATTTTAGCTGTTAAATCTGGTAGCGAGAAACGAGCCACAGAATTTTACCGTTGGGTTCCCGAGGATGGTGGTAATGAATTCGGGAAGTTAATAACGTAATTGATTGGAGTTTAATGTGTGTAAAGCAGACTTACATTTTTGACCAAATTCATAATGCAACATCCTTCCTGTCGCGTTGGTCGGTAGGACACGTCCGGTCGGTGTTGTCAGGTCATCTTCAGGATCATCATTCCAAACGCCCAGCAAACCACGAGTTTTGTTCTTAAATCTCTCTGGAGCAGCGAGAAGGATGGCCAAAGAGTCTTTGACGTCAGTCATCTTGACTGAAATCCCACAAGGGAAGAGTACAGTGATGGAGGTGTTGTCAGGTCGAGATAAAGCAACGGAGCCATTGTAACGAGTAGTTGTATTGGTCAAAGTGGAGTGGTCTATTACAGTACCATTGACCAACACTTCTAGACCTGGAGACAATATGAAAATACAGTCAATGTCATTAA